CTGGACCCTAAACCCTAAACCCTCGGAAAACATGTTCCAAAAAGAATACATTAAACATTTGTCTTCAAACGAACTGGCATGACTTGATCCGGATGCCGTCAAGGCACATCGACATCACGTACGCATGCTCTCGTCGCTGGGCAGCAGCTATGGATCGAGCAAAGGCAGGTGTGATTTCAGCCTTAGCTTTCACTTATCTCAATGTTAATCGGGATTCAGATGCATGTGCAGGCATCTGCACACATATAGAAAAACTCTTGACCACATGGCTGCTGCATGCTACCAGAATGCGAGCCACATGCAGACGAGTTTGACATCCCAGCCCTTGCAGTTCAAGCTTGGGTAGTCATCACTGAAGCTGAACTCCTCCATCGAAAGCGCATGGCCATTGGCTCGCGCCCAGCTGTGCAGAAGCTCCTTGGCTCGCAAGAGCTTGTTGCCCTGCTTTCCAAACATGTCGACAACCATGCTGCCGCAAAGATCGGCAGCGAAGCCTCTGTACGCCACGTGTAAAGAATCGTCCCATATCAATCGGTTGCTGAATCCTTGCACGTGGATGATCGGCGACGGGAAATCCAAGTTGCCCATGGTTGCCATGAACTCCTCGATTGCATATCACCGTACGGTTCGTGCAGAAAGCAAGGACACATCTTAGCCACTAGTCACTAGTAATTAGTATTTTTTGCATGCCCTGCCCACCATGCTTGATTCATGAGGTCCTGCAGGGTTTCCTCCGAACCGTGCCAGCCAGAGTCAGCAAAATCGTTCAGATAGTGGGTCGACCCATATCGCATAAACGTTCTGCCATCGTTCGGGTCGCTCGTACTTGCAAGCCTGAGATTAATCAGTCAATCGACATCACGGTACCATATTGTTACAGTAGTACAGATGTAGTTGCAACGAAGAGGCTTGCAAATATGGCACATCCTGCACGATCGTTGTTGTGTCACAGCGGTAAAAACCTTGCAACACATGATCAACAGAGCCGTCCTGTTGCCTCGGGCAACACCGTTGCCTTTCCAATGGCGGGGACTCAGTTAGTGCACGGTCATCGCCAGAAATAAAGTTGCATGCTTGCATCACAATATATTTAAGTTCAACAGTACGTTTTGAGGTTCTGGCAACTTGAACACGTGGGCCAGCCATTTAAGGTCGCCCTTCATCCCAAAGAAATGGACTCGTCGTTCTTGCCCATCGATCTTGACCGTCCTAGCTCCATTAAACTGGGGCTTCTGGGTCAGGCGAAGCTTACAGAAAGGCACACTCGAGTCTTTCGAAACAGAATAAATGAAAGAAAAACGGTTCAAAGCTGGGGCACAGCCCTTCCAAATCTTTGGCAATGACATCCATGATCGTATCCACCGTGGATAATATCCGCAGCTTTCGTTGTAAAGGAAGAGACACCAGCAGATGACCGGGGATCGCACCTCATTCATTCAGTCAGTCCTTCATTCAATCATTCATTTCATTTCATTCATTCCTTCGTATATATATATATATATATATGCATACATACATGTATACATACATACATACATACATACATACATACGTACATTTACATACATACATACATACATACATACATACATACATACAGACAGACAGACATATACTTTGTATGCATGCACGCATACAAACTACGGATGTATAGAAATTTGTGTGTTCTCCCAATTTAAAATATATTAATTCGTGCTAGTTGAAACATCGGAGACTCTTCACACGAGGGCGCAAAACGTCGGAAATTGCATCACTTTTGCACACCAAGACACAGAGCGGCAAACGAGTCATGATCGTGTCCTGTGTCTGGAACAAGTCAAGCTGCACCAGTGCAAAAAGAAGGAAGAATGTCCCCTTGATTCAAGTGCAACCAAGCATCGCCGTGGTTGTGTGGAAAACTCAAGGACACCACCAACAGGTTTCTGTTCTTGAAGTAAGGCCCCTCATCACCGTGGATGCGCAGAAACACATCCTCAGGTCCTGTTTAAAGCAGGACATATAGCACACGTTTGCAAAACTAGCCCTTCTGATTGTCATACTCAAATATTATTGCTTGCCGGCCCCACCTGCAGAGGAGAGAACCTCCCGCAACTCAGGTGAGTCTTGAATCAGATCCACGAGCCTAAGAGCATTTGCAAAAACAAGTCTGGGAAGGCCAGGCCAATGAAACTTCCAGCAGAGTCACAGCTGTCGATCTGAAGGAGAGCTGCGGCCATACACCATGTGCCGCAACAGTTTCGGCCGCTTCTCAAGCCATCGGAACCAGGCGCTGGGGCGAACAAAGCCTGGTTAAGTAAGAGCACAGCGACTCACATGAGCAGGGTTTCCTTTGGAACTTGTGTCTTGCACAAGCAGAAAGTAATGATGTTGCACCCGTTTGCATGACGGCTTGCAGATGAGGCGCTGAAGTTCCTGTTGACACTGCGTTTCTTGACAATGACCGGCAGCTTCAATTTTGTCACGTGAGGCAGTGCAGCTCGGAGCTTGTTGTGCAAAACGCGCTCGTCCTTGATCGACGCCAACAGCCTTGTCTGATAATTGGTCGATCCTTCGGCAACAGCAGCTCCGCACACCTCGTTGCACATGAACCTCACGTCAGCGCCTTTCTTCCTCAATGATTTCAGCATGACATCGGCCATCGGTGTCGACAGCATGTGATCCAATGAAGAATAGGTTTCGTCCAGCTTGGTCAGCTCTGGCGGCAGCTGTGTCTCTGACCAGTCGCATTCTTGATCACAGGATCGCTTCAGTCGTTTATTCGCTTTTCTCACAAAAGCCCAGGCACGCTTCCGCAGTCGAGGTACTGGAGGCTGCGACGAGGAAGATGGCTCATGCCTTGGCTGGTACGGTACGGCTGAGGTCCCTCAGAGCTCGCAGGAGTCTCACTCACAGCACTGGAAAACACGTGAGCGTGAAAAAATCTTGCACTGCAAAACGTCTAGAGCTGAGTGTGAAAAATCTTGGATTGCTTAATATAGCACTGCAAGACACGTGAGCTTAAAAAAAATCTTGCACTGCAAAACACCTGAATGCGAAAAAATCTTGCAGTGGAACAATCTTCCATTGCAAAACACGTGAGTGTGAAAAAAATCTTCCACTGCAAAACGTACATGTGCACCTG